GGTAGGGGGTGGACTTGGACGCCGAAGTGGCAGCCAACACAGCGGAATTTAGGGCTGAAACCTGTAAACGACCAAAGAAAATCCAACAAAGCTTTTAAGAGAACAGTACGCACCGACCGCACATGATGGCACGCTTTAAGAAAGGATTAATTCAGATAATTATCACCAACGTTTGGGTGGCTTTACCGCCAGAAAACAGGGACGTGGGAGGGGGACTAATGTTGCGGATTTGGGTTCTGCTCCGACCATTCAACATTTACGATAGGGCCACAGACCAATGATGATATACTAAGCAGACCGGACTCACCAGAATGGGCATAGCAAGGAGCAGGCCCTATCCACGAGTCACTATCTGTCTCTACCTGGAGCAGATGAAATATTTACCTTAACTTAAATAAGAGGCGGCTTGCAACTTATGAAAAATAGGTTTTATCCTCTGATGGAAATGGTCGCAACTACCTGACCAAATAAACAACATCAGATTCGCCGAGAACACGGCGATAAAGAGGGACTGGTAGGGGTAACATTCGATTTAAAGCAATGTTGACCCATTTGTATGGATAGGCACCGGGCCACGATTTATGCTATTATGCGATAGACATAATGCGGACCGCGGCTTACATCAGTTTAGGCCCATTCCAACCATTGCCCAGTTAGGTCATTTAGGTATAACGAAACAATTACGGCAACTTAAATTATGAAAGTAGAATGTTTTTGTGCGTACTTTTCGCTGATGTAGAACATCAACAAGAGACTGAACGGGAGCAGGAACAGCAGCCGCCTGCCAATTTTCATGGTCCAGCATTAGTCGCAACTTGGTGCACCGATCAAGATGAAAACTGTGTAGAAGACCGGAGGCGAAATTCGCGATTACACCATGTAGTCTCATGGCTTGCGGAGGCAGGTTGACGACGACGGTGGTTGTGATGGCAGTGGAGTCCACAGCAATCGCTGATTGGTCAGTAGAATGGGAGTTGATGGCCAGCGGAGCTGTGAAGAAACACCATGCGTCCTGCACGACTTGCTACCACAGAGAAAAGACCCAAAAAAGCGTACAGAAACAGCAAAGTATACATTTAGGCATCCGAATTCGATAAATGCAGGTTAAAGTTCAGTTTGGTTTTATAAATTGAAAAGTCGGCAAGCGCCTGTTAGCTCACTATTGATTACAATAAAGTTGCAAGCGAAAAACACGATACACTGAGAAGGTTCGAAAGAAAATTGGTTATAGAATAACACGCAAAAGCATATAACGGCCAGGTTACTACTAATACGTGTCAAAGTATGCAGGTGTGGCAAACATAGTGAATGTATAAGAACCCTCTAATGAAAAGTGTCAAGTAGTATTGAGATGAACATTGAGCATAAGCCAGAATGCATCGGTTACAGAGAGTAAACTAACTTGAAATGAGTCCAGCAATTCAGCTACTTCGATAAATTCGGCGGCAGTAAGGCGTTCATTGACCTCGACCTCACCATTGGTCTCATTGGCAGGATCGGAGGGCGCTCTGGCACCGTTATTTATCGTCATTTTGGTCCCCCCTGTACGAGCTCGCGGTGAGACTAGAGTGATAATTCGTGTTTGGCACCAACTCACAGCATCCCAGTAGACCCGTATCAGCTTGCGTATCAAGTCTTCACCGATTTCCTGCGGTACGCTCTTCATAAGACCAGAATCTGACGATGAGGACAGTGATTGGGTACCAACGGATTGTTCGATGGAATGTACAATAACCAAAACAACAGCCTGAAAAAACGAGGTCAACAGAGAAGAAATGATTCGGTCGCCACAACAGGGGTAATTGTAATTTCATTCAGCGAAGTAGCACACAACCGTTTTAACTTTTTATACAGTTAAGGCCACAGTGCGCTGGACAGGAAAACACACTCACGCGTATTCTCCCAAGAGCCAATTCCAGATTCCGACAGACGGATTGGACAAGCTGAAGCCAGGAAACCTGGGAATATTTACCACCAGGCTGAAGTTCCTCCGCAGTAGGCGCGAGTCCGGTACTTGAAAATAAGTTGAAATGAAACCTGAATTAGTAAGCCTATTTCGTAAAAGAAGACACCTGTTAGGAAAATGTTCGAGTTATTTTTACACACGCGGGCCACTTAAAGTCATGGTCTTTAATGTGGCTTGACAGTTTAGAAAGACCACTGAGAAGCCTGAAGAAAGTTGCATCTTATACTAGGGGCATTTTGGAGGTCTACTGGACGAAGAATAGATTAGGTGCAGTGGTTATCGTGACCAAAAGCCCCCGCTACCACGTATCGCATACGTTTCGGATCCTTCCTGACACCCATAATCAGTCCCAGGCGAATTGAATTCTTCTTCTCCACTAATCTCGGGAATTTGCCTTTTCGCCCCTACAGCTTTGCTAACAGGGA